TTGAGGTGGCAGGAGGTGTAGCAGAGAAAGAGGTGGGATCCGCAGTCTCACATATCCGCAGATACGTGAGAAAGGAATATGGAAAGGTGGGAAGGAAAAGCGGGTAGGCTGCATAGGATCTGTTTGGATTAGACACAAACAGGTGGGTTTGGGACTCTTAGACCTCTTAGCAGAGGAAGAGAGCCCGGTGGATGTGGACTTGTGCACAAGGATAAAGGAAGGAGTGTGCAAACATGAACAGACCAGGAAAAACGATGGATGGATTCGCGTCCTTAGTCCACAGGTACGTACATGTCCACTCACTCTCCAACCAAGAAGAAAATGGAGAAAAGTACATGAGGATGTGCCACAAGCCAAAAATGAGACAGTCATGGGGCAGGGATATAAATATATCTAGGGACATGTGATAGGGCTGGAGGAATTAACAAAGGACTTTAAAAAGAGTGAATAAGAATAAAGAACGCAAAACACATATGAGATCCCTCTGTTGATTGTCTGGAACCTGCAGTATGTACAAAAAGTGAAATAAACCAGTAGGTGGATAGGACGAAAGCAGAAAGAAAAAAGAGAGGTTGGGGGAAAAAGAAAGTAAAATATAGTATTTATGCCTGGATTACAATAAATAGCTAAAATGAGTTCTTTGACAGCCAAGGGGTTCAGCAGAGTATGTTCAAACAGCAGTTTGAGGGTAAGAAATGCAAAATGCAAGATGGATATTCAAAGAGAGAAGCCCAGGTCCTCTTATGAGATAACCAAGAAGAGTGGGGGTGACCAGGTAAAGCAAGGTGTCAAAAGAAACCCCTCGAGAGAAGGGATACACCCCAGAAGCCACACTGACATCGCAGTGGGCAGAACGCTGAGCCAGTGTGGGGGCCGGGGGAGAGGGGACTTGCAGCTGCTGAGCTTGAGGGTTGCCATCCAGTCTCAGAGGTCTGTGTGCATGGCTGTGTCTATGAGGAAGGTGAGTGAGAAGTGCCAGCAGCGTGGATGGAAGTGGCCTCTGCCAGGCAGAGGCAGGATGCAGGGTGAAGATGCAGCTGAGTGCAGAGAATGCCAGGCTTGTTACCGGGCACGCCAAAGGTGAGACGGACGAATCTCGTGCCTTCCCTGCCCTTCCCCACTATCCTTCTGCTTCAGAGCTCCATAAACTTTCAAGGCTGAACAAATCACATAACTTTTCCCTGCAAGGTTGGAAGACAGATGTGTGGGGCCCAGAGCAGAGACTCCCGTGGCCAAATCTAAATGCAGGGCTGCTCTCTCCCGTCTCAAAGACGCCCTTCCCTGGGCCACGTGGGCTCCCCATCTCCTGCTGCACCTCCACTTTCCGAGGGAGAAGGGCCCGTGCTCCTGGTCAGCCTGGCCAGTCTGTTGAGTAGGGTCTGAAGAACGGGCTGATGCAGATGAGAGAGACAGTCAGAGAAGGATGCTGAGGACGCGTCCAGAAAACTGAACACAAGAAGCAAAGTCTCCCAGGAGCTGTGCAGTGATTTATATCACAGATCAAACTTTGTCGTAACGCTTTTCTTCCTCATCTTCATGATCCCCCCACCGCCGGGCCCCCTTCCTCACTTGCTAGTCCTTCTTAATCATCCTCCCCGGCTCCTTCTTCCTCCGGTCCCCTCTGATCACACTTATGTGGGTGATCCTACTGGTGATCCTGCTGGCCCTAGAGCTCACCTCTCCTCACTCATGGACTCCCTCAGGGACCAGAAATCCACAGACACTCAAGTCCCTTCACATCTGCAGGTTCCAACATCCACGGACCAAGAGAGCAACTGCCTACCTTGGAGAGGAAGAAAATGTATCTAGGAAATGGGAAACAGAATTAAACAAGTCAAAAAGAGACTAAATAGTTGGGAGGTTTGGAATACTCGTTAGGGCTCACAAAGCAAGAGCTGAAGCAGTAGTTTCTGATGCCAGTATTTGTGTTTATCTCATTTTTGCTCTAGGAATAATCAAAGTGAACATTTAAAGAGCATTTACATTGTGTCAGGCAGTGTGCTAAAGGATTCATAAGCATCTCATTATGAATAACATGACTCTGCATGACAAACCTTGGATATGTTCTTCATGGCCCTGTTTGGCAGATGATGAAATTGACAGCATCACTGAGTATAGTTTAACAGATGCAGAAATAGGCTCTGCACTCCCTGTTCTGTCTTCACACTTTCCCTGCTCCCTCCCCACCCCCGCCAATCTGTGTCCTTTTCTTCATACCAGAACCCCATCATTGGTTTAGGGGTCACACTAAATCAGTCCTATTTCACCTTGAGACTCTTAACTAATTACATCTACAAAGACACTATTTCCAAATAAGGTCACCCTCTGAGGTCCCAGGTGGACATGGATTGTGGGGACAACACTCAACATGTTACAGGCTCCAAACAGCAACAAAGCAAGAGCACTGAGTATGTTTAAACTATTTCCCACGTGTTTCTCCTTTTTCTTGTCCCTGAAAGGCCACCCTCCCTGTGGTGCCTCTTCACGTACCTCTAATGACTACCTTGCCCACAGGGTAAAACCCAGGGCCCTCCCCACCTCCCCTCCGCACCCCGACTGCCACTGTCAACTCCAGATGTTTCTCCTGCTCTCTGTCACTGGAGTCTTCTCGCCCTCCCCACATCCTCCACCCTGTGCTCCTGGTCAAATGACCCCCCTGAGTCTTTACGACCCGGTTGGAATCCCTTAGGAAGCTTTCTCAAATGACCCAGAGGTAAATCCTTGCTGCTCTGAACCCCTTGGGAGATAACTCTTTTCTCTGCTCACAGGCCAACTAATCAGCCCTTCAGACTCCCCTTGATGAAGTCATCACCCACCTCTTGTCTTGTTATCTTTGCGAAGGTAAGCCTTTTCTTCTGCACGAGTCAGGCCTCAAAGACTGGGTTGGTGTCTTTTTCTAGAATCTAGTTTTGTGCCTGGCACCCCCAGGTCTGCAGGAGCTGTCACTGACCCCTTTACTTTCCCACTGCACCAACAGTTCCTGCCAAAAGTTCTCTCTCATCTCACGCGTGGCTGTCTTTCCTGGTCACCTTGGTCCAAAGAGGTGCCTTTCTTCTCTGGGCTCGTGGAGCAGTTAGCTCCAAGGTGGTCCAAGCCAATGGGCCACCTGGTTTCGGGATCCATTGTATGATCACCAGTTATATATTCAATTTCTCACTCATTCTTGAAGATGCTGGAAGTGCTGTTCAACCAATCACTATTCATTTACTCATTCATTCACAAAGTTTTCGTGACACCCTTGCTCTGCCTGGCTCAGGGCTAGGCTCCATCTTCCTATTCAGGGGGCCAACAAACTTCTTCATCCTTCTTCCTTCTCCTCCCAGGGACTAACACAGTTCTTCAAGGGTCACACATTCTCAATGGGACAGTGCTATTCAAATCACTTTAACTCATGCTAAAGCACCAGGTCAAATGAGGGACTAAAAATGCTATCAACTTAGGCGACTTCCCTGGCAGGCCAGTGGTTAAAAACGTGCCTTCCAATGCAGTGGACGAGGGTTCGATGCCTGGTCAGGGAACTAAGATCCCACATGCCTCGGGGCAACTAAACTGAAGAGTTACAACTACTGAACCCACACGCCACAACCAGAGAGAAGCCTGTACACTGCAATGAAGATCCCACATGCCACAGCTAAGGCCTGATGCAACCGTCAATCTATCTATCTATCTATCTATCTATCTATCTATCTATCTAAACACTGCCAACTTAGGACTTCCCTGGCGGCACAGTAGATAAGGATCTGCCTGCCAGTGCAGAGGACATGGGTTCGGTCCCTGATCGGGGAAGATTCCACATGCTGCAGGGCAACTAAAGCCAGGGGCCACAACCGCTGAATCTGTGTGCCTAGAGCCTGTGCTCCTCAACAAGAGAGACCACCAATCTGAGAAGCCTGAGAGCTGCAACAAAGAGCATCCCGTGCTGGTCACAACTAGAGAAAGCCCTTGAAAAGCCACGAAGAGCCAGGGCTCAAACCCCTCTGAGAAGGCAGAAGAGGCCACCATGCCTGAGCTCTGTGGCCAAGGCCCGAAGTGAAGGGGCAAGCGGAGGAGGAGCCCTTCCCTGGTGGCTGGCGGCCCGGACGGTACACAATCGGCCTGCAGTGTGGGAGACCTGGGTTCGATCCCTGGGTTGGGAAGATCCCCCGGAGGAGGGCATGGTAACCCACTCCTGTATTCTTGCCTGGAGAATCCCATGGACAGAGGTGCCTGATGGGTTACAGTCCATGGGATCGCAGCGACGAAGCAGCAGGAAAATGAGCCAGGCTTTGAGAAGAGGTTCCCGGCATTCTCTGCACTGGCGGTAGCGGAGGCGGGTGGGGCGTGCAGAGGGTCAGGCTCTGCCTTGAGCGGTCACCATAGTGGTGGCGGCTCTGTCCCACCATGGCCTCTGGTCAACCCCCTGAGAAGTCTTTCAGGGACCAGACAGCAGCTGCAATGTGCTGTTCTAATCAGGACTTCAGCGAACAGAGCAGGGTTGTGAACTGGGGAGAAACGGACAGTAGGATTCCTAGGTGGCGCCGAGGTAAAGAATCCGCCTACCAATGCAGAAGATGCAAGAGATGCCCGTTTGATCCCTGGGTCAGGAAGATATCTTGGAGGAGGAAATGGCAACCCACTCCAGTATTCTTGCCTGGGAAATTTCATGGACAGAGCAGCCTGGCGGGCTACAGTCCATAGGGTCACAAAGAGCCAGACACAACTTAGCGACTGAGCCATGCATGGCCAAGGCAGGACCCTGTGTGCAGTGTATCATGATGTGCACTAAGGCAGGCTCAGAACGCAAACAGCATCCCTCTTCTGATGCCACAATAAGGACCACCGGCCTCTTTCCCTGCACTGGCCAGAAAGCAACATCTATCACCCTCTCCGCTGCATCAAGAGGTCTCAGAATGAACAAATAAAAGCACTGGTTCCAGGTGCTTCTCTGGTGAGTATCTGAAGATGCCCTGGGCAGGGGATAGCACCAGAGGTGGGTGGCTGGGTGGAAGGGGGCCACTCACCAGCGTTGCTCTGCTGCTTCGTGTTTTTGATGTAGGCGGAGAACTTGGCGAAGATGTCGATGCCTGCCGTGTTGGATTCCCGATGTTTCGCAGCCAGTCTGGGGTACCTGGAAGGCAAGATGTGTTCTCAGGTGAGTGAGAACTCGGAGGTCCTTTTAAGGGAGAGCCTCTTTCAGTCACCTCATGATGAACAACACTCTTGTCTTCAGCAGGATCTATAAGTCTTTTGAGGTTTCTCCAACCTATTCTGTAGGGAGGGTGGGCACTTGTACCCCTAGTTCAACGACAGTGCCAGTGAGTGGGCAAGGCAGTTGTTAGAGGTACGTGAAGAGTCACATAGGGAGGGTGGTCTTTTAGGGACAAGAAAGAGGAAAAGCACATGTGAAACATTTAAACATATTCAGTGATCGTGCCTACTTGCTATTTGGAGCCTGTAATATGTTGAGTGTTATCTCTACAGTCCGTGTCCACCCAGGACCTCAGAATGTGACCTTATTTGGAAATAGAGTCTTTGCAGATGTAATTAGTCAAGAGTCTCCAGGTGAGATAGTACTGATTTAGTGTGGTCCCTAAATCCAGTGATTGGTGTCGTCATTAAAAAAAAAAGCAGACACAGAGCTGGGGTGGGAGGAGGGGGCATGTGAGACCGAAGGGGGCAAACTTGTTTGTAGCAGAATCCATGGCTTTGACCCCATTGGTGCCATCAAAACAAGCCATTCTGATTTTCAAAAGATATTATTTCATGAGCATTTTACATGAATGGCCAGGCAAGAGTGGACGGAAGTGGGGGAGGGGCAATTGCTTGACCATCATAATTACTAAGTATGTGGACCTTTGTGATCTTTGGGTGAAGAGTGGACTTCCAGCTGTTTGGCTACTTTATGTTTAAAATGCAAAATTCTTTTTTTTTTTTTTTTGGTTTAATGTCTCAAATAATTTGAAGCAAAACACCTTTAACAAGTATTTGTTTTTCTTTCTTTTTTTTTTTTTTTTCGTTCTTTCACTGACCCGTTAGCTAGGGCCACCTACTCCTGGACCATGTTGAGTGACTGTTTAATTTCAGATACTGCCATTGGACGAGTCTTCCAAAAGTCACTGGGTCCAGCCGTCTGCCCTTGGGCAGATACGAGGCATTATCGCCCTAGTTTTACAGGGAAGCAATTGGAGACCAGAGAAGTTAAATGCCCATTTGAGGTCATTTATTATTTGAGGTCATTGGAGGCCATTATTTATTATCATAGATAATAAATGGTGAAGGGGCCATGAGAACCTGGTTTCTGGGCGCTGGAGCAGCGATCCTCTCGCCTCCTCTCTTCTCTGATATCAGTGAAAGCTTACTTGTACTGAGTGCCCACTCTGTGCCAGGCACTATTCTAGAGCCTTGGCAGATTCACCATTTATCCCTCACAATTCCACTGTTACTGTCATTAGCTTTCTTTCCCACAGGAGACAAACAAGGTGCAGAGAAGATAAGTAATTTGTCTAAGCTCAGGAGGCCAGGCGTCAGAGGCAAGACTCCAACCCAGGCAGTTTCACTTTGGAAGCCCAGCTCTTAAGGTCCGTGTGCTGCGGCCTCTCTGCTGTTTGCCCCCAAAGCCACCAAACACCCCCTGGGGCTGGGCTGAGCACCATGAAGGAACTGCCGTCAGCCACCAGGGGGCGCTCTGCGCAGGTTCTGCACTCATCTCCCCGAATACACTGGGAAGTATCAATTCATCCGCTCTGACTGCAGACACAAAGCGCTTGTCCCTACTAAATGCTAGGTAACCTTCCAAGATGAGGGAATTTAGCATTATCCGTCCCTATTTTGGCTTTCCCACATAGAATCTTAAAACCGAATGTCTTAAGTTATTATCAATACATACAAAGTACTCCTTGTTTTTGCTTGATAAATAATAAAAACAGAAGGGACTAGATAATGCATTTTATATTTGGGTTTGTTGGTTGCTTTTTTCCTGCTATCACTTGATCAGACTTCCACTCATCCAACCATTTCTTCATGACCAGTGTGGGTCAAACATGAGTGGGTGGTACCAAATCCAAGTTGGGTGACAAAGGGCCATGTGTCCAGGGAGACTATGCTAGTTCCATCCTGTGTTCTAAATAGTATGAGAGATTGAGATTTGACTTTATAGCATAATGTCCCACTTGAAGATTGTCCTGGTAGGAACTGTATCTTCAAATATTAACCTCACAGATTTTGGTAACTAGACTTGGGGCAACCACTATTCAGGATGTTAAGTACTTTTATGTTAGCTCCATACTTACACTGTATTTTAAATATGCAGATGAGCAGGTTTCAGGGTACCTTTTGTTTCTCTAAAAGGCTAACAAATAGTGCTTTATCTATAGAAATATCTTTGAAGTAAGATTGTAATGTGATCAGGTGACAAAGTGATGGGCAATTTCTCTAACTCAGGGGTGAGCCTGTGGGCCAAATCCAGCCCAACATTTGTTTATGTGGCTCCCAGGAGCTAAAAATAGTTTATACACTTTTAAATGATTGAAAAAATCCAAAGAAGGATATTATTTTGTATGTGTGAAAATAATAAGAAATTCCAATTTCAGCATTCACAAATAAAACGCAGCCACATCCATGTATGTATGTATTGTCAATGGCTGCTTTTGGCTCCCCTGGGGGCTCAGCTGGTAAAGAATCCACCTGCCAATGCAGGAGACTCAGGTTCAATCCCTGGGTCAGGAAGAATTCCCTGGAGAAGGAAATGGCAGCCCCCTCCAGTATTCTTTCCAAAAAGGCTGGGCGACCTCACTCATGGAAATTTCTCTCCACTCTGTTTTTAAGATATCTTATTTCCAAAGCATGCATTTTAGATATGCACTTAAGCTTCATTCTGGGAAGTGAAACAGTTGGCCATTCATCAAAACAATTTTTTTTTTTTTATAAATAGAGGCAAAAGAAAAGATATGATTGCAGATGGAAATGCTCTGATTGGCTGAGAGTTCCAACTGACGTCTCACCATGCCCCTGAACAAAAGAACAGCGTGCAACTAAACCAACATGCAGTCATGCCAGGGGTTAGGCCCTGTCCCTGGCATTGGGGATACATTGGAGAAAAAGAGAAGACAATCATCTCGTCCTCATGGGGTGACCTCTGAGGATTCCAGAGCCTCTCCTGGCAGCGTGAGTGTTGACCTTGCATTTCTTAATGAGCTGAAAACTGGAAGGCTGTCCCCTCTCTCCATGACCTCAAACTCCATACAGTAAGCCCCCTACATATGAACCTGCCAGTTGCAAACTTTCAAAGATGCAAACCTGTGTTCACATATCCAATCATGTAAGTTAGTTCACAGCCATGAAATCAAAAGATGCTTACTCCTTGGAAGGAAAGTTATGACCAACCTAGATAGCATATTGAAAAGTAGAGACATTACTTTGCCAACAAAGGTCTGTCTAGTCAAGGCTATGGTTTTTCCAGTAGTCATGTATGGATGTGAGAGTTGGCCTATAAAGAAAGCTGAGCATTGAAGAATTGATGCTTTTGAGCTGTGATGTTGGAGAAGACTCTTGAGAGTCCCTTGGACTGCAAGGAGATCCAACCAGTCCATCCTAAATGGAGATCAGTCCTGGGTATTCATTGGAAGGACTGATGCTGAAGCTGAAACTCCAATACTTTGGCCACCTGATGCGAAGAACTGACTCATTTGAAAGGACCCTGATGCTGGGAAAGATTGAAGGCAGGAGGAGAAGGGGATGACAGAGGATGAGATGGATGGATGGCATCTCCGACTCAATGGACATGAGTTGGGGTAAACTCCAGGAGTTGATGATGGACAGGGAGGACTGGCATGCTGCTATCCATGGGGTCGCAAAGAATCGGACACGACTGAGTGACTGAACTGAACTGAAGTTAGTTCACATGTCTGGCACAAATAGTCTGTGCATGCATCCTCTGTAAGTAGCTGTGCTTTTGTGTACTTTACAGTAGTATATAGAGGAGAGTATCTTTATTTAAAGCCCAGAATGTTTGGAAGTAAGCATAAAAGCAGCAGTGATATAGCTGGTACTGCTAGCGAGTGCCAGCTATTGTATCGTACTACTGTACTTTTCAAGGCACTGTATTGTAAGAATAAAGATGTTTTATTATTTTGTATTTGTTTTTTATGCATTATTTGTGTATAAAGCATTACAGACCTTTTATAGTACAGTAATATATTGCCGATTGTGTCAGTTTCATTCCTAGGCTAACTTTGTCCAACTTACGAACAAATTGGACTTGTGCACAGCACTCCCAGAAAGCAACTTATTCGTATGTAAGGAACCTACTGTACTTTCAACCACTATGCCATCCCATCTTTGGTACTGAGGCTGCTGCTCTACCTCCCAAAGAACCAACAAGAACCTTTGTGATTATTACTGCTGTGAAATATCCATAGACATGTCTTAAAATAATGAACTCAAAGTGTGTTCCACTTTGGCTTTGAGCCCTGTTAATACCTGCCTGACAGCTGACTGACTAAATGGCAAGACGTGTAACTAGTCCACTAGTCCCCTCTCCTGAATTTTTACCTCTGTTTATTTTAAACAACAACCAGCTCCGGGAAAGTGCTTTGAGAAACTCATGGAATCACAGAACTTCTGCTGAAAGGCATCTTCAGAGATGAGGGAATGGGGATGGTCTGAGAGGGGGCGAGGCTTGCCCAAGGCCATGCAACAAGCACTGTGGAGGAGGGGGGCCAGACTCTGGGGTCCTGACCCTCACTGATGGATCCCGCTAACTCGGGCCATTCCACCAGGAGGAAAGGCAAAGGCCAGCACGTCAACTATGATCCCCACGCTTCCCTGTGGAGCATTAACTGGGTCAGTCTAACCAGGGGGATGGAAGCGAGTCTCATTTAGAAACTACTTGAGACCTCCTGGATTCCTCATTTTGACACCAAATGCTTTGTGGAACCAAATGTAATCTTTTAAAAAGATTGTTGGAGTGTTTGTATGTGGTTTTTTTTTTTTTCTTTTTCCTTTAAAACATAAAACTAAGGGGAAAAAGGCTCCCACAAGTTCTTGGCTCTCTGGCAGCTTTAACAAACAGTGGTGTGATGAGAAACACATGCCCACTGGCGCTTGCAGAACAGAAAAGGGGGTTCTGCTGCCCCCTAGAGAACCAGGAGGCTGGCCTGCCCTCCTCCGGGCCTCGGGACACGGGCCGCCTGACCGACCTCCCAGTTAGAGGCGGTGGGAAGGCAGCCGAGGCGGATGACTTCGCTGCGGGCCGAACAGCCCGTCTCTCCTTGTGCGGCTGAACGACTGGCTTGCTGACATTTCTGGGAGGTAATTAAGACACCTGCCCCAGCCTGACCCGCTCTAAGGCACCAAAGGGACACTCCAGGGGGCTCCGCAATAGTTGATGGTCTCATCCCTAGGACCCCACCTTGGTAGCCTTCTGGAGTTGTGCGTTTTAACAGTTTTGAGGTTCTGCTGCCTGGGTTTGGTGGATTATAGGGTCTCTGATATGTCAGGAACGGACTTAGTAAAAAGCTCCTACATACATTGCAGTCCGGAGGCCTGCATCCAGAGGACCAGATGAAGCAGAACTCAGGAGAGGTGGAGAGGGAGGGGAGGAGGCAGCATCTATGTCCTGCACTGCTTAGCCCGATTTGGACCATGGAAAACTTCCAGTAGCTGATGATACGGTGATGAATTTGATGACGGCCCTCCTCTGGAAGAATCTGCCTATACACACGGGCATATGATTCTCGGGGGGTCTCATGGGCCTTTTTGGTCCCATTAGGGATGTAGACTGGAGAGTCCCCCCCAAAGGCACTGCTGGATGGGGGTGGAGGGAGCCTGCCTAAGATGGGCGTGAAGGGTCATCCTTTCCCAGGGGAGACAGTGGACACTGACAGCAGGAAAAAGACTCCATGGAGGGGTCACAGGGCATGACTGGCAGAGCCAGGAGTGGACCTGAGGCCTCCAGACTCAGCCCAGCCCTGCACACTTCCATCTACTGGGCTGGCTAGCCATCCTCCCAACTGTTCCAATTCCCCATTCCCTACCAGCCTTGATGGAAGCAGGCACTCCCACAAGCAGGTGTTACTTCTAAAAGGGAAAACACTAACTTCTTGGTGGACATTCCCCTCTGGGTCTCCCGGGCAAAGTCAAAACTCTATGTAGTTACCGAAAATAGCATTTATCTTCTGTTGTTGCATCTCAAACCAGCGCCAGCCATGAGGTTAAGTCCCAAGGGATGGAAGATGGAGCCTGAGCCTCTGGGGGTCCTTTCAGCACAGTGGTTGGCTGGTGTCCCATTCAGAGATGTGTGTGGCTAAGCTGGGTGTTCCAGGTGAGGCTGATGGGCTGATTTAATCAATTCATTTATTTTTCAAGACTTTTGGACTTGAGGCAGCTTTCCATGCTCAGTATGAAAATAAACTGTCCTAACGGGGATGACCAAGAATACACTTTCAGGAAGAATGTGCAAATGGTTGAGGCTTAATCAGATCACAATGGTTGAAAGTGTTAAGTCACTCAGTGGTGTCCAACTCTTTGTAATATCATGGACTGTAGCCTGCCAGGCTCCTCTGTCCATGGGATTCTCCAGGCAAGAACACTAGAGTGGGTTGCCATTTCCTTCTCCAGGAGATCTTCCTGACCCAGGGATCGAACTCAGGTCTCCTGCAGTGCAGGCAAATTCTTTACCATCTGAGCCACTACTGGAGATCCTCAATGTGGATGACAAAACACTTTTAGGAAGGATGTACAAATGGTTGAGTCTTGATGAGATCACAATGAGATCACAATAAATTCAACAGTGATTTGACAGATGTGTGACCTTGGGCAAGTTACTTAACCTCTCCAAGCCTCAGCTTCTCCAGCTGCAAAATTAGGATACTGACAGCACTTATCTTTCAGGGCACACCACGTGAGGGCTGTAGCAGCCCCAGTGGCCTAATGGGTAAGGCACTGGCCGTCTAAGCCAGGGATTGTTGGTTCTAGTCCCACCTGGAACGGTATGATACAGGCTTCCCTGGTGGCTCAGATGGTAAAGAATCTGACTGCAGTGCAGGACACCCAGGTCCACTCCCCGGGTCTGGAAGATCCCCTGGAGGAGGGCATGGCAACGCACTCCAGTATTCTTGCCTGGAGAATCCCATGGACAAAGGAGCCTGGGGGGCTACAGTCCATAGGGTCGCACAGAGTCAGACACGACTGAGAGAATGTTTCAGCTTCAAGTGAGGGCTATAGCGATATCTGTAAAAAACAAAACTTTAAAATCAACGCAAAATGGTCATCTTTCTTGTCAGGCCACTTATGTCACCTATTAAAGTGAAAGTCGCTCCATCATGTCCAACTCTTTGCGACCCCACGGACTATACAGTCCATGGAGTTCTCCAGGCTAGAATTTCACCTACTAAGTATGTTCTAAAATCCCTCCTGCCTCTCTGCTCCCATCTCACTGTCACCGCCTGAGCCCAGCCTTCTTACCTGGATGTCTTACCTGGTATGTCACCAACTGGCTCATCCTAGTTGATTTCTAGGATCTTCCATCCTCTGCTCTCCCTATATTCCCCCATCCCCCAAAGAACCTGAAAATGGACTCGACAACACCTCTGCTTAAAGCTTTTCAGGGACAAGCCTGCAGGATTAAGTTTGCGCACGTCTTCCTCTGTGTGTGTTAATAATACTATTGCCCCGGGTTCTCTTTTTTCTAAAGGTGACTGTTTGAATCTCTGATTTCAGTCCAGGTGCAATGCACATGTCTAGTTTCCAGCAGCTTTTAGGATTTCAGGGCTCTTCTCTCCTCTTTCCCATTAGGAGCAACTTACCTATAGAACAAGAACTCATAGCGCTTTGGTCTCTCCCTTCCCTGACCTCGTTTTCAGAAGTCAAACTGCTTTCAGTCCATTTTTTTTTTTTCATGTTTAATTATGGGCTCCGACCAGACAGGGTCAGATTTATGGATCTTATTCATACGTTGGTGTGGTTTTAAGTCATGGGATTACCTCTCTCCTGGCTGACTTTTCACTTCACTTTGTCGACCTTTCAGCTCTTGTTCTGCCATGAAGGAGCCTCTGCCCCACCTCAGGCAGAGGGGCCTGGAGAGAGGACGTGTTTGGGGGCATCAGCTCTAGGGGGTTGGGCTTTGTAGGGCAGGCTGGGGACGGGTAACCCTCTGGGGGTGAAGAGGGCTGTACGGGACTCTCTCTTTTCAGAGAGAGGCCTGAGCGCTGAGTCGATGAGGCTCTTTTGGAAATCTACTCCCAGGATCTAGAGAAGCACATGGAACCCTCCCTGTCATTAGCGCTGGAAAGAAGCAGCTCATTACTTTTCAGGGGTCAAAGTCTCCTCCAGGAACTCCTCGATCTTATTGACGTCTGTCTTCACATCCCCGTTGAATGTCAGGAAGGGCGGATGGGTACCAGGGGCGAGGTTGTGCAGGTCAGCAGGCTTTCTGCAGAGAGGAGAGAGCAAGGTTCAGGGGGCGGCTTATACCAGGGCACTTCATGGACATGGAGACCTGGGGTGTATCGTTCATTATGTATCATTTGCAAAAACAAAGCTGGAATGGGACGTAGGGCAGAGAAGGGTGGAGAAGGTTCTGGAAGAATGTGGTGTGATATAGGAAAACCGGCCAGTGGCATTCAGGAGCAATACAGGATTGACTTTGAAAAAAGCAGAGCCTGATCACAGGTGACTATCTAAGCTAGAGCCAAGCTTCCAATACCCAGGGCAGAAGTTGGGGTTTGCTTTCAAAAGGTCCTTCACTTATTTGCTTAACAAAAATGTATTAGGCAGAATCCCGAACTTTGAATATTCACGAATTCAGTCATGCTTTTCCACTAAGAACGATATTCTGTGTTCTTCAAGGTTTGCACAAGAGGAAGGAAGTGACGTTGTGTTTGACATGGGTCCTTATTCAAGGCAGAAGGTGGGAGCGGGGATGGAGCAAAGAGCGGGGAAGAAGGGCCAGCAGATGGATGAAGGACCTGGGGAGGGAGAAGACTGCACAGCGGACAGAGGGAGGAGGAGAAATCATGATGGAAACTTCCCGGGGCAGGGCTGGGACATCAGAGTCACCCCAAACCCTCTCTCTGAGAATGTGCACTCCTTGTGGGAGGCAGGCGTGGGGGTGGGAACAGTAGAGAGAGGAACCAAGAGAGTAAATAAGGGGGAAGAGGAGTCTGTAACGAAACACATTCCTGGCGTAATCAGCCTAGGAGGGGAAGACAGGAATTTCAATTAAGGTGTCCCTCCTGCGTCCAAGCCCAAACACACACTCTCCAGCTGCCTTCTGGGGCACTTGGAACTCCTCAGACAATTGACACTGCAAGCACTTCTTTAAAATCCAGTTTCCTTAGTCCCTGTGTTTACTTCGTATGTGTTCCTCCTTTCAGACAATGGAAGGACATTCTTTACCTTCTCTTCCTGTGTTTTAAGGGCTTCCCTGGTAGCTCATATGAGCTCACTTAAGGCAGTGATGGGCTTCCCAGGTGGCTCAGTGGTAAAGAATCCACCTGCCAATGTAGGAGACTCAAGAGACACAGGTTCGATCCCTGGGTCGGGATGATCCCCTGGAGTAGGAAATGGCAACCCACTCCAGTACTCTTGCCTGGGAAATCCCATGGATAGAGGAGTCTGGAAGACTACAGTCCATGGGGTCACAAAGAGTCAGACATGACTGAGCCTGCATACACACACACACACACACACACACACACACACACAAGGCAATGATGCTTGGGTTCTCAGCAGGGTGGGAAAAATCCATACTGATTTTATATTTCAGCAATGAACTCTGTGGCTTAAAGATCCAGAAATTATTTAAGTGTTAGTTGTTCATTTATGTCTGACTCTTAGAAACCTCATGGACTATAGCCTGCCAGGCTCCTCTGTCCATGGGGATTCTCCAGGCAAGAGTACTGGAGTGGGTTGCCATTTCCTCCTTCAGGGGACCTCCTTGACCCAGGGATCGAACCTGGGTCTCCTGCATTGCAGGCAGACTCTTTACCATCTGAGCCACCAGGGAAGCCCTGGTAAAATTAATAAGGATGATTTTTTTTTTCTAAGACTCAGCAGAACAATATCCTTTGGAGTCTGGCATCCTTCTGAGGTACTGCCTGCAGTTGCTACGGTCCAGTTCACGTTGCCCATGGATGTTGGTCAGGGGAGGCCCCGTCTCTTTGTTGACTCTCTCAGCAATTAAGAAATCATACAGTTAGAACTTAATTACCTATTGCCAAGTCTAACTTACGGATCATTTAATATACATCAGTCCTCCTTTCCTGACTGGAGGTCAAGATGATGCTAAGAAGAGCTGACACAGGTGGTGTTCTTGCTACCAGCCAGCACAACACTGAATGCAAGTGGTCCATGGCCTGCCTCCGCAGATCCTCACGATAGAAACAAGGCACCACTGCTATGCCCATTGTACCAGTAAGGAAACAGATTCAGGGAAGAGAGGGTAACTTGTTCAAGGATACTCAATTCATGGTGGAGCCAGGATAAGAAATTAGTTTTGCTGGGAATTGCTAAACTTCACTGTATCAAGCATTTAAAAAGTTCCTTAATTCATATATATATATATATATATATATATATATATTTTTTTTTTTTTTTTCCCCAGTAAGAAAGTCTCCTTATCTATAAAACTGGAGTCCTGATACTTAACTGGCCTACTTGAAGGGCGTTGGCAGGACTAGATGTGATAACAGAAAGGAAGGAGCCTCGTAAGGATCTGAGGAATGCTGGGGTGGCTGATCCACAGCCAAACACGAGTCCACGTTCACAGATGATACTCCAAAGACCACCTCTTCTCCACTAAAGGAAGCCAATCCTCCCAACTGTACGAAAGTCAGCTCTCGCAGACACTGTCTGCATTGTGTGTGTGTGTTCATTCATTTGACAGAGGTTAGCTGGGTCCCTGAATGAATGAATTAGCTGCTATGATGGATACCAAGAAACTTAAACATGATCTCAACCAGCCCTTGAGGGATTCAAGGTCTCACATGAATGACAAAACAAACTTCATAACTGATGAGTCCTAAAGAGCACGGTATCTGAACCGAGGAGATGGGGTTTTTGGTGAAAGCCCCTCCAACTCTAGATGGGCACCTTAAACAAGCCATTTAAATGTGTGTCTAGGTTTCCTCAAATAGAACAAAGAAAAAAAATCACACTTTATGTGATTTTTTAATGGGAAAGCAGGCTAATGGTAAAGCACTGGGACTGTAGTTATCATAAACTGGTGAGATGCAAACTGATGCAGCCGGGCAGCAGGGACCATAGATGATGGGTGAGTTTGGGGGAGAGATATGCCTGAGAGTAGCGGGGTGGGAGGGGGAGGCTTCCCAGGAGAGACGGCTGATCCTGGGAGTTGGGCACCATCTCTCCACTTGGTTAAAGGATTATTTTAGGGAAAATATCCCAAAGGATTGTTTTAGGAAGAATATCCTTATGATAATACAAAGGATGATCAGAGACAGATCAGAGACAGACAGACAGAACCCGGATGGATGAAGACCAGCTTGAAGAACAAAGACGCTGTCTAACCAGTGGTGGGACCTGGACCAAGTATGGGCTTTGAGAATAGACAGGAGGGCTTGGAAGTAAGAAACAGCACAGTGAGAGGGTGCTGGGTTACTGATGGACAATGAGGACAGCAAGAGGAGGAAGCCGGAAATGTTTCAGTGCCTAGAAAAATGAAAGAACAAGGGAATTCAGGTTTTTGGGGGAGGGGACTTCAACTCAAAGGGAAAATGAAGGTACATGTTTCAGAACAGATATTTTAAAGTGATGATAGAAAATGCAAGTGGAAGCAGCAAGAAGAGGGCAGGGGTCTCGGTACAGAATAACTGACATGAAGGTGACAGGGAGAGTGGGCTAAGCTCACGGAGGAGGAAGATGAACACCGGGAGAATGCATCTGAGCCAGTTCCCATTTAAAGGGGAAGCAGAGGAGAGAGGAGAGAAGCAACAAGGAGAGTGTGGCTCATGATGGTGAACGATGCCTGAATTTTAAAGTCATTAAAACTGCACTTCAGAAGGAGAATACTAGCAACACTCCATCCCAGTCTCTAATCCAGAGCTCTCACACTAAGGACTTCTAAAGATGGGAACATAGTGGGAGAAATGGTCTGGATCTTAGTTCCTTGGAAACCCAACCTCTCACACCTGGAGTCTAGCTGGGGTCCCCCAGGATGAGGGCATTAGTATGATGGGAACGGCTCACTCTGGATTTTCAGATGTCCATGCCCATCTCTGTGCCAGACACTCAGTCACGATACCCAGTGCCCAGTCCCTCCCTCTTCCTTGCAAATTGGGACTTGCTCTGTCCCAAGGGTGATGCTTGTTTTCCCAGCCTCCCTTTTAACTAGGGGTCTGGCCAAAGAGGTGTGAGTAGGAGGCAGCTAGAAAGTTTTCACCCTCCTTCATGGATGATCCTCTGTTCCTACAGCGAAATCTACTGCTCACGAATGCACCGTCCTTTACCTTTTCAGATCCACCGTGGTGACATTGAACACAACTCCTTTCAGCCAGAGGATCATAAAGAGGCGCTGAGAGAAGGGACAGTTGCCAATGCTTTCCCCATCGATTCCAGCCTAGAAAGAAAAGCACAAGAATCCTGAGTTGACTTGTGCACATTAGCAAGAAGGCATATAGCATTCTAACAGCTAGATGCCACTTTGAGCAGAACTAAGTCCACGCTCCAGCCTTCCTTTAAAGTTGACATTTAATATTTATCATTGTCTTCCTAATGTACGGTGACACTTGGCACAGGGTAAGGGCTCAATAAACCCTGTGGGACTGAACGTGAGTTGCCAGCATGGTGATTATGCAGGCTCATAACTTTCTGAAACCATTGAACCCTAGCATCTCAGAGTAAAAAGAGACGTTTAACATCACAGGAAAAGTGTTGTGAAAGTGTTAGTTGCCCAGTCGTGTCTGACTCTTTGAGACCCATGGACTGTAGCCTGCCAGGCTGCTGTGTCCATCCATGGAATTCTCCAGGCAAGAATATTGGAGTGGGTTGCCATTCCCTTCTCTGGAGGATCTTCTCGATCCAGGGATTGAAGCCGAGTCTTCCACATTGCAGGCAGATTCTTTACTATCTGAGCCACCAGGAGACCCCTTAATATCACATAATCTGATACCAAGAATGTTGGACCAACTTCTATACTTCTGAGTAATCATCTTATCTACACTTGAATAGTTCCACTCACCAGCAATTTATATCTCTCAAACTAGTCCATTCTGAGGACAGTTCTAACCATCAGAAATGTTTTCCTTCTGTTATATTAATAACCTTGCCAAAGTATGTTCCTCTATAGTTTATCCTCTACCCTTTGGTCCTTGCTCCATGAGGATGTCATGAGTATAGATCCTCAGATTTTGACCTCTTTCTATCTAATCTGCAGGCTCAAGATTTTAATCAATGTCCCACTTAGTTCTGACTGCTACTTGACCTTGTGTCAATAAGCTACTCATTTGTTAAATTATTCTCTTGAACAGTGAATACATATTGATCATGTGCAAAGCACTGTACAAAGGGGATTCAAAACAGCATTTACTCAGGAGCTTAGGACCCTCTGAGGTGTGGACTAGGGGATGAGACAGGTACACACAGATAATCATGGCAGACAGCATCATTGAGGACCTGTGTACTCCCACTCCCCAACTTTCCCCTTCTCAGTACCCTCCTCAAAACAGGATTTTTTTCTCTGAAAGGCAAGCCCACTTTTACCTCTGAGTGGGCTGCAGAGATGTGAATTTTATAGAGTATATTTTCAGCAAACACAGGAAGAAAAAGGTTGGAGGACTGATTTCTGTGTGATTTATTTCCACTAAGTGGTTTATTGGCTCCAAAATGGTACCTAGAGGGTGAAATCACCTACTCACTCTGTTTGGGGTTTCCCTGGTGGCTCAGGTGGTAAAGAATCTGCCTGCAATGCAGGAGACCCAGGTTCAATCCCTGGGTTGAGAAGATCCCCTGGAGAAGGAAATGGCAACCCACTCCAGAATTCTTGCCTGGAGAATTCCATGGACAGAGAAGCCTGTTTTACTGGCCCCAAAATGGTACTTGGAGGGAGAAATCACCCATTCACTCTGGTTTTTGTTGTTGTTGCTTTAGGGGTTTGTTGTTGTTGTTGTTGTTGCAGACGTCTTTGTTTGTTTCAGCTTCGAGGGATGTGGGATCTCAGTTCCCTGACCAGGGATCGAACCTGTGCCTCCTGCAGGGGAAGCTCAGCCTTAACCTCCGGACTGCCAGGGAAGTCCCACCCACTCACTCTAGTTTGCCCTTGGCTACCCTGGCAACTGTGGCCTCATCAGGACCAGGCTCCACCCACAAGGAGGATGTCTGGAGGAAAGTTGAAAAGTTGACAACAATCCAACCAACGTCCTGGAATGAAGGCTTACGAAGACTTCTTTTCTTTCTTTCTTTTTTTGAAAAGAGAAGGAGAAAAAAACTGCCCTCCAAGCTCAGCACATTATTTTTCCCCTGCAGCTTTGTTTGCTGGGGGGTTGGGGGGGGGGGGTGCGGATGTCTTCTTTCATAAGCCTCAGGCTGTGCTTATTTCTACCTGGCCCATCATCCCCAGCAGAGGTTCAGGTTTATAATGGAAAACTGGTGCCTTTGCTGGTGTTTCTTGTAGGTAACCGCTATGAAATTACAGTTATTTCACCTTTCTCTTAACTCTACCCCAAACCCCATCCTTATTCAGTTCTCACTTTCCTTAGTGCTGGAAACAGATCCACTCTGAGGGTTTCAGAGACCACGGGCTTGGTTATAGAAAATCAGAAAGGTGGAGGGCATAGGGCAGGCGCCACCCTGACCACAGGGCTAACGTTACTGATAAAGCCACACTCAGACAGGCAACTATGGATTTAATAATGACTGGTGCAAAACTTGAGTTGATGACATCAGTTCCCTAAAAGTACCCATTTGACAGGTTCTTAGTCCCTTAAAACATCCTGACAAAGGAATTTTTCCCCAGGGTCGGTTATGATGTAAGTGACAAGCTGAGAATTCAAAAACAAAAGCCACACACTCTTATCTGTTTTTACCTCTGATGGTGAGGGTAGGAGTGGGGATACTCATAAGAGAATCGAAGCAGGAACTACAGAAATATTGGCATTCTTATTAGCTGGACCCAAAATTCATACAATAATGTTAATAATACCAATGAATATCTATATTGTCAGGCAATGTTCTAAGGGCTTTTCATATATTGCTTTTTATTTAATTGCATTATCATGAATAACAAGCTCTCTGTTCAATTCAAACCTTTTATTATTATTTATTTATTTTTGGTCGCATCACCTGGCATGTGGGATTAGTTTCCCAACCAGGGATTGAATCTGAAGCCCCTGGATTGGAAGCACAGAGTCTTAACCACTAGACTGCCAGGCAACTCCTGCTTTACATAACATTATTAATGTATTTATTCCTCACGTGAAACCTGTGTAGTGAGATAGTGTCGTCCTTTTACAGACATGGGAGCTGAGGGGGAATTACAGAGAGGGGACGTCACTGGCCGGAGAGTCCCTAGGATGAACCCAGGCAATCTGGTTCCAGACCCAGAGCTCTTACCCACCATGCGTGGATCCATCCTGAGGACCCAGCCCAGACAGGTAGCACGGTCACACAAAGTCATGGAGCAGGAGGTGAGGGAGCTGGGGATGTCTGATACATCCCAGACTGCAGTCAATATGCCACAGCTCTGCGGGCTGAAGAGGCTGGTGGCAGTCACAGTTCCCCCCATGTCCACTACTGTCTTGTTAGGATTCTAGATGCAGTAAACAAACATTGCCAAAAGACCAAGAGAAACAAGACACAAGGGGTCTGTCTTACTGTCTCTGCACCTCTCTTTCAGCTTCACTGTCCCTTCCCTTCTCTTGTGCTGGGAACACTTAACATGAGATCTACCCTCTTAAGACATGTTTCAGGGTGCAAGGCAGTATTGTCGACTATCCAGTGCTGTAAGCGGCTCTCCAGCGCTTACTCACTTTGCTCAAATGAAGCTGTATTTCTGTTATTAGGAACTCCCCACTTTCCCCTCTCCTTGACCCTGGCAACCACTTTTCCACTTTTTGATATTATGACTTTCGCTATTTTAGTTACTTCATATAAGTAGGATCATGCAGTATTTGTCTTTCTGTGATCAGTTTAATTCATTCACCATAACGTCCTTGAGATTCATCCATGCTGTTACACATTTTAGAATTTCCTTCTTTTTTAAGGCTGCATAATATTGGAAACAGTGGCTGACTTTATTTTTCTGGGCTCCAAAATCACTGCGGATGGTGATTGCAGCCATGAAATTAAAAGACGCTTGCTCCTTGGAAGGAAAGTTATGACCAACCTAGATAGCATATTAAAAAGCAGAGACATTACTTGGCCAACAAAGGTCTGTCTAGTTAAGGCTATGGTTTTTCCAGTAGTCATGTATGGATGTGAGAGTTGGACTATAAAGAAAGCTGAGTGCAGAAGAACTGATGCTTTTGAACTGTGGTATTGGAGAAGACTCTTTGAGAGTCCCTTGGACTGCAAGGAGATCCAACCAGTCCAACCTAAAAGAGATCAATCCTGGGTGTTCATTGGGAGGACTGATGTTGAGGCTGAAACTCCAATACTTTGGTCACCTGATGCGGAGAGCTGACTTATTTGAAAAGACCCTGATGCCGGGAAAGATTGAGGGCAGGAGGAGAAGGGGATGACATTGGATGAGATGGCTGGATGGCATCACCGACACAATGGACATGGGTTTGGGTGGACTCCAGGAGTTGGTGATGGACAGGGAGGCCTGGGGTGTTGTGGTTCATGGGGTCACAAAGAGTCGGACACGACTGAGTGACTGAACTGAACTGAATATTCCACTGTGTGTATACATCAGTTTTTTTATCCATGCCTCTATCAAAGGACATTTAGGCTATTTTCATACCTCGGCTATTTAAATACTGCTAGAGCTTCCCTGGTAGCTCAGACGGTAAAGCGTCTGCCTACAATGCGGCAGACCCGGGTTTGATCCCTGGGTCGGGAAGATCCCCTGGAGAAGGAAATGGCAACCCAGTCCAGTATTCATGCCCAGAAAATCCCATGGACCGAGGAGCCTGGGGGGCTACAGTCCATGGGGTCGCAAAGAGTCAAACACGACTGAGCGACTTCAGCTCAGCTTCAGCTCAGCTCATAATGAACACAGGGCTTCCCAGGTAGCACTAGTGGTAAAGAACTCCCCTGCCAATGCAGAAGACATAAGAGACATGGGTTTGAGCTCTAGGTCAGGAAGATCCCCTGGAGAAGGGTATGGCAACCCACTCCCGTATTCCTGCCTGGAGAATCCCAAGGACAGAGGAGCCTGGCAGGCTACAGTCCACAGGGCCACAAACTGTTGGACACAACTGAAGCAACTTAGGACACACGCAGGCATAATGAACACAGGATTGCTAATATCTCTCTCAGATTCTGATTTCAATTATTTTAGCTGACTTCCCAGAAGTCGGATTGCTGGATCATATGGTAGTTCTATTTTTTACTTTTTTGAGGAACCACGACACTGTTTTCTACAGTCACTGCTCCACTTAGTATTTTCACCAACAGTGT